TCACCTCGAAACTGACGGCTGAAAAGATAAGATCCCGCTGCTCCGAACTCTGACACAAACTCCTCCACTGAACATCAAACAACAACCCAATAAATACCCATAATTACCAAAATACCTCTGGAAGACAACTGGTCAACCCTGGACAAGTCAAAGTCAACCCCTGACTGACCCTACTCGTCGAGTCAACCCGATGACTCGCCGAGTCCTTATGCTCAGAACTTCCCCCAATTAGCGACCCAACTCGCCGAGTAACCCCAAGACTCGTCGAGTGCAACAACTCTGAGTCCACTCGCACCCAACTCACCGAGTCATCCCTCGACTCACCGATTTATCGACTCAACCAGAAATATTGGGACTTCCTCGACAAGACTCGCCGAGTCCAACAGGACTCGTCGAGTCCAAGGCCATCTTCAACCTACTCGCCGAGTTGTTCTTCCAACTCGCCGAGTTCAAGGCCATCTTCAAGCAACTCGTCGAGTCCACCCATGTGACTCGCCGAGTACCACCGGTCTGAATCCATACAGAAGCATCTCAGGCCATGCAATTGATCCAAAACATAGATCCAACCTCCTACAATCCATCCATCACGTAAAGTGGCAAACTTTACGTGAATCTAACGAGATCTAAGCCATTTTCACTTTAGAACCAAGGTTTGGGACATGGTAGCTTCATTAACAACACAAAGATATGGGCTTTAATGCTCTTAATGTCTTCTCCACTCCAGATCTGAGGTAGCAACCTCAGATCCATCCTCCAACATCAAAATGTCACACAACCAAGCACCCCACACAACCCAAAATGATGGAATTAGAAATGCACAGCCTAAGGACGAAGATATTACCTCCAAATAATGCCTCAATAGCTGCTAAGCTCGAATCCAAGCAAAGCCCTTTGATCCAAACCACTTCTCCTTCAAGATCTCCTCAAACCACACTTCTCCAAGCTCTAATTTGCTCCACAAATGATCTCTCCACGAACTTAGGGCTTCTGGAGCTCAAGGGGGGAATAAGGGAGGATGTGGAGGGGTGTAAGGCTCTTTATATAGGGCTCAACCCCGGAAATTAGGGTTTTTTTCATACAGCACCTACTCGCCGAGTCCATCCTTGGGACTCGCCGAGTAGGCCACTTGACACGCGACCATAGCCGCGACCTGACTCGCCGAGTCACCCTCCAAACTTACAGTTTTGGTCCTTCAACTGTACTCCCGCGATTCCGGGATGTTACAACTACAAGCCGCAAACCGCACCACGAGCGTCCAAAACTGCATTATACGGTGCGGTGTGGTGCGGTGCGGGCGGTTTATTCGGTTTGTGTGGTTTGATACACACCCCTATGAGCTATCGCTAAAAGAAAAAATGGAATTAGCAGCAACAAAAGTCGCCGCTAAAGCCTAGAAAAGTCGTCGGTAAAAGTCGTCGCTACTATTCTATTGCTATTGTTCAAAATGTTGTCGGTAAAGATATTTCTCGTTGCTAATGCTTCCGTCGCCAGTAATACCCTGTGTCGTCGGTAATAACATTTTTTATTTTTTTTTTTAAAAATCGACGATTTTTGGTGCAAAAAAACCAATACAAAACGACATTAAAAGTAGATAAAAATTACATAATAGCATCCGATTAGATACCAAATAGTGTTATAATTAATTTCATACCAACATAAACAATCAAAGTTTTATAATTGTAACAAGTAGCAAACTGTCACGACGAGTGTAACATACAAAACACAAAGTAATTATCCGACGAACCATCATTTCCTCCTCAATCTTTCCACGATTAAAAAAATCATAAAGCTCCTCTCCACATGTCGTGTCCTTAAGCATTGCCCGAACATTTTCCAACTATATAATAAATAACAATATATATATAAACTTATAAGTTAAATTATCAAACATAAACACAAACTACCAAAGTAGATTGCTATTTCTTGCACTTAAATACAAGAAATACCAAAAGTACATTGTTATTTCTTACACCTGGGACAAAAAAAACAATTACCAAATCAACATGCATTTATCGATGCCAAAGTACATTGCTATTTTCAAACTAAGACAAAAAACCAAAGTACATTGTTATTTCTTGCACTTGGGATAAAAACCTAATTACCAAAGCTTTTAGCAAATAATCACCACAAACCAAAATTACCAAATCAACATGCATTTAATGATGCCAAAGTACATTGCTAATTTTAAACTAAGGAAAAAAAAAGTACATTTCTATTTCTTACACTTAACACATAAACACAATTACAAATATAATTACCCAATCAACATAAATATTTTGATCATTATATATATACACGAGACATTGAAATTAAATAATTTACTCTATTTGTGCTAAAGAACCTTAAATACAAGAAATACCAAAGTACATTGCTATTTCTTGCACTTGAAATACAAGAAATACCAAAAGTACATTGCTATTTCTTGCACTTGAGACAAAAGCACAATTACCAAATCAACATGCATTTATTGATGCCAAAGTACATCGGTATTTTTAAACTAAGGCAAAAAAAACCAAAGTACATTGTTATTTCTTGCACTTGGGACAAAAAAGCAATTACCAAAGATTATAGCAAATAATTACCACAAACAAAAATTACCAAATCAACACACATTTATTGAAATTACACAATCTTGTTTTACCTGTTATGGTTGTGATGGTGGTTGCGATGGCTGTGAAATCGGCGGGATGTCAGAAGGTTTCCAGCTGATGCCTCTGATATGGCCAGACTGTTCTCCTAATAATTTCTTGAAAGTAGCTCTTTCTTGAGCGGGTGTTAAATCTCTTTCAGCTCTGGGCCCTTGTTTTTGTTCTAAGAGCTCTTCCATTAACCGATTTTGTGTTTTCCAAAGGTAATTAACAATTAAGTATAAATAAACAATTAATTATATGATAAAAATATAATTAAATACATATGTATTGTTGTTCCACCTCAACACTAACAAATACACCATTCTTATCGGTATGAGCCTTGCGAAACATTTCCATTCTCTTAAGGTTCAATTTAACATTAAAAATTAGATTATATTTTAAATAAATAATTACATGTACGTACATTACCTTCTTATAGCAAATACTGCTATATGAGCTTGACCCCCCATGGTTCACGGTCGTTTGCATTTCATGAAATTTTTTGTTCCTTTCTGAAGCAGTTTGTGTTCATCCGTTTAGAAATACTCAAATGCTTTCTTCCAATTATTAACATCCATATCATATGGGGGTTGCTAATGTTCTCGGGATATCCTCACACCCTCCGACTTCCAAAAAATATTCTTTTGCATCAGCTTTATGCTCTCAATAACCTTTTAACAAAGCCGCTTCAAAACTCTCTAACAACATAGCAGTGTCTGGATCTCCGAATATCCGATCCAAATCAAATTTTGTCAACAAAATAAAAAAAAATGTTTACCAAGTAAAAATCACTCATAATTAATCATATAAAATATTTTTATACAAATAATAAATGTTTTTTTGTTGGATTCTTTATTACATGGGAAACTTTTTTCCAAGTCCATTTATCAAAAGGGACAACCCGCCACATTATTTTCCCAACTTCGCGTGCAAACATGTCATTCGGCACCCTTACGGGATCATATGTCATATCTCTATCATTGTCCATGTAAATTGGCTTGCCCTTATTCTGTAAGAGCGTTCTTTGAAGCTTAATATTTTTTGCTTTTCCTCGGACTCTTCTACATGGGTCAACTACAAATATAATTAAAAAACTATTAGAAATGGTATTTAATTTATAACTAGATTCGTTACCCCCGCTTCGCGGGGGCAGTGACAAAAGGCGATCAATCCACCAGCCCCAAAGGTGATTAATCTATTCCTTCATCGTTAGGAGATGGGTTTTCTTACCATTAAGTTGGATGATGGCAAACAAAGATAGGAGAAGGAAGGGCACTTAACTGCTCGGTTAACTGAGCCATAGTATATAATGGAACTGGTTTAGAACGTCGTATTCATTAGAAATAGTTATCATAAATAAAAAGATTATGTCATAAGCAGAAAAGGATAACATTCATTCATTAGTGTTTCATTACAAAAGTTTCCATTCATTAAGAGATAGGTACTAGACATTTGATTACAAAAGAGTTGGATTTGCTACTTCACGGGACCTGGTGGTCATTGATGATTTTCTTGCAGACCTCGGTAGCGGAAGCCCTGTTCTCTTGCATTGCCTGGAAGATGTCGAGCATGATCACCGTGTCTTGATCAAGATCATTGATGAAGGTTTCGGTGACGACGGCCTGTTTGTATAGCATTTCATATGGGACTTCGTTTTTCATGTTTTGTCGTGTTTGGTTGATGTAGCTGAAAGTGTTTTGGACCATGACAAGCGCTTCCTGCATTGTGTCGAGTTGGTTTTGCAGTTTCTTCATGATGGTCTCCATCTTCTGTGATTCTTGTTTGGTGGAAGGATGATCAACATGGTGTTTTTTTTATAGTTGAGGATTATGGTAGTTGGACTGCATTCATTGGAAGTCATTAATAGGTGTTTTGATTTGTTATAGATATAGGGCGACGGCTACCGATTTTTTCCTTTATTAGATGGAGTTGATTGTTTGTCACAGGTGTGGTATTAAATGGGATATATCTGGGGAAATCTTTGACCGGTGCGGATATCCTTGTTTTGGAAAATGGGAAGGTTTCCTATTCAGTAGTGGTATAGGCGCATAACTGTGGAGTTTGTTTATCATATTTATTGTTTTCGTTATGGAAGTATTTCAGCTGACTTATTCAACTGTATTCATTAATATAATATTTGACTGATTTGGTATTATATTAAATATATACATGTTATTTTATCTATAGTATTAGATATTGTCGGTGCATGTTTTATATTTAAATAAATATGTATAGTGTGGTATTTAGTTAAATTATGGTTGTGTCAAAGTATGCAAACGATGTTTCTTTATTATGGTTTATATTACATATGATCGTTGTTACAATTATTAACTGCAAAGGGAGAATTCGTAGCCAAATGACAACTTCCAGTTAAATGTCTTCTTTGTTATTCGTTGTTACTTCGGGGTTATTTTCGGAAATGTTGCTGTTGGTGGGCCTGTGAGTAAGGAATTTAGAAAGCATTAGTAATGGCTTTCGTGACTTAGTGTTTACTTTTGACATGATAACATTTTGTTTTACCTGGTGGAGTAAAGGTGAGGGTGCGTACGACAGGGCGTTCAGAAGTACTGGACTCAGGTGCTTCATTATCCGATCGGATTCTTTTTGTGTGTGTGCCAGTGTTGTTAGGATGGGTGTCTCCGGTCGTGTAGCTAACTGTTGGATGTCAATTGTTATGAAACGGATATTTTCAGCAGTTGATGCTCTCAGCATTTGGATACACATGGTCTTCGTTTCTTACATTTGATGAGTCATGATTGAAGGCAGTGTGTTTCTGTTAGTTAGTGGGTTATCGAATATGAATTGTTCTAGCGATGATTTTAATAGCTTACAACATGATGTTTCAGACACTATTGCGGGGATGGTGTCCGTTGTGTCGGTAATTGTAACAGTAAGTTTATATCTATATAAATGAAGAATCTGTAAATAGTATGATTAGCAAAAAGTGGTATATCTGTATGAGTTGGAAACTGCTTACATGCACGCTGGCTTTTCTATCAGTCCATGTGCACCGCAGTACGACTGAGGGCCTCTTCTGAAAATCAAGTCTTTGCAGATTGGACATATCGTTTGGTACCATGTGTTTTGGAAGTGAAATTCCTTGATTGAGGCGTTGACTATGAAACTTTTGTCCTATAAATGGGAAGTAATCGAAGGTGACACTCTTAAACGTACTGTATTAGTAAATACTATTAGCAGTGTTGTTATCTTACCAGTAGTTCCGATTTTGTTTTTAGTTTTAGTTGGTATAAGGTTGAAGGTATTCCCGATAACGCAGGCATAGGCCTTGAGGGTCCCGTGTATCTGTAGTGTGGTTGTTGTTTGTCTACAAATTCATTTATATATATCAGGAAAATGTTCGTAAATTTGTGTGACTTATAGATCTATGAGTGTTGTCGTCTCCGGTATATCGGGGTTCACATAGATATGTGTCGCATGTGACGATCCGTGCTGTAGGACTCCTACACCAATGATATGTTATGGTTAAGGGTATTTGTGGATGTGGTATGGTAGTAGTGATACACATATACATATACATATATATATATATGTGTGTGTGTGTGTGTGTGTGTGTGTATGTGTGTGTAAGTTTATAGAAGATGATACCATAGGATTTTGATGGTTTTAGGTTGATCACTGCAACAACACTTGTTGCAGATAGGTGATTTAGGGAGTCACGATTGAATTTCTGCACATTTGTTATACATTCCTTCCATAGATTAATTGCGAGTTCACTGCCACTAATAGAATATGATTGTAACAGCCCGGATCCCCAGGTATCCCCATTTCCTTATATTTTTGAAATTCTGTGAGGGGACTCGGCGAGTTGGTGGTTGAACTCGTCGAGTCGGGTCGCGGTTTATAGCGGGGGTTCGCGTCCGGACTCGGCGAGTCCAAGGGGTGGACTCGACGAGTCCGTGCTGTTTAATGAAACCCTAATTCCCCGACCCTGAGCTCTATTTAAAGGACCTTATGGCCCTCTTATGCGGCCACCTTGAACCCTAAGAGCCTCCATACGTCTGTAAGCCCTTGTGTGTGTGTTTGAAGGCCTTTTGTTCTTCATTTTGTGTGATAGTGCAAGGAAAGGAAGGAGAGGAGCAAGCTTGAAGTGTTGGGAAGCTTAGATCTGTTGCTACTTCATCAAGGGGGTCTTCTTGAGGTAACATTCTGAGCCAATCTTCGTGTTTTGTGTTGATGGGCCAAATCTAGGGTTTCTTCTTGCCTTTCTTGGCTTGAATAAGAAGTATGAGAGGTCCCATGGAGACATGGAACCTAGATCTGGACTTTAGCAGGTCCAGGAGACCCCTTATGACAAGCTTTATGCCCATTCATTTGAGTTAGAAGCTATACTTGCCATATTGAAGGTTGTTTCTTCAAAATAAGCCTTGTATGCATTGCATGGCAACCAAGACTGAGACTTTACGTGACAAATAAGCTTGGGAAGGCCAGATCTATGTATCTATGGAACGGATCTGACCGCAGGAGCCAGTTTTAGCTGGTGCATGGCATGGACTCGCCGAGTCTGAAGAACAGACTCGACGAGTCACTTGAAGATTGTCCTTGAGACCATCTTGTGTGTAGACTGGACCGAGTTGTGAGCGACTCAGTGAGTCGCAGAGAGAGTTGGAAAGGTTTTGGCAGGTGGACCGAGTCAGGATGGGACTCGCCGAGTTGGCCTTAGACTCGGCGAGTTGAGTCGCGGTGACCCTGCGATTCAGGCCCAGGTGGAACTCGTCGAGTCAGGGGAGTACTCGACGAGTCAAAGGGAAAATTCTTGAGAGTTGGTAAAAACGCGTAGACTCGCCGAGTCACTATTGTGCACTCGCCGAGTCTAGTCCAAATTAACTAAAGACTGCTGACCGGGTCAACCGGTGTTGACTTGAGTTGAATGGTCCACCTTAGTGGTACAAGTAATAATTATAGATGTATATATATATATCATAGGAGGATTTCAGCTCGAGGGTTCGAGCCCGAGTGATTCCAGGATTTGCGGGTAGCAACTTAGCGAGGCATACGAGGTGAGTCTTCTCACTATACTGTACCCGGAAGGGTTTTGACTATGTGACCGGAAGGTCGAATATGATATGGAATATATGCTCTATGTGTGTTAAGTTATTTGCTATGTGTGTCATGTATGATATGTTTGATATGGGCCGGAAGGCGTGGTCATATGGACTGTAAGGATTGATGTGGGTAGGACCGGAAGGTTTACCCAGTCGGGACGGAAGTCCCCTGAACACATGGACCGGAAGGTCAAGGCCTGGAAAGGCGTATGTGCAAATGTTGTATTTTGGGAACTCACTAAGCTTTATGCTTACAGTTGTTGTTTATGTGTTTCAGGTACGAGTGAGGACCGTGGGAAGGCGCCAGCGTGATCGTACACACACTCGGGGAAACTATTTTATCTTTTGATATGTAATCGTTTGAGACTACGACGTGATTTTGGAAATCTAAACTAATTACTCATGTCTTAATGGTTGTAAAAATGAAAATTTTTGGTTGGAAATTTTATGACGTTACAAGTTGGTATCAGAGCCTTGGTTTGAGGGATTCGGGTACACCTTCGGGTGTAACTGGACTCAAACCGGGGATTGGAGACAAAAAAAAAAAAAAAAAAAAAAAAAAAGAAATTGTTTTTACAAAAAAAAAAATTTAAGTTAAATTTTGAAATGTGAGACAACCGAAGAAGAAAAGGTGTGTACGGTCAGCTAGCGCCCGAACGGTAAAAATCCCCAAAATACTCTTATTATATGTGTTACGATTTATGATATGATACGCATGCTAGCAGACTAGGTATACATATTAGGGCTAAAGTGGCCTGATTTTGCGATGCCTTAGTCTAGGGGAAACTTGCTTCTTTGAGGTGCTCGAGAGCGAGTGGGTAACAAGAGTATGAAAAGAATAGAGTGCTCAGGATTCGAGGTTGGGGAGGATGACTTGGGTGAATACCGACGCGGTGTAACTGGCAGTATTGGGCCCGTACTGCCAAGGACACCGGGTCAGTAGGCAGCCAAGTGGGAACCCCTGAGTATCGAAAACTGAGCAGGGTTGCGTTATCGAGTGCGATTTTTGCCCGATAGGGTCTCTGATATTCTTTTGTTGTATTTCAGAGACATCATGGTTGGACCACGACACAGACCTGGCACGAGTGGGGTGACTGACGAGGAGCTCCGTCAGATGATCCATGAGGAGGTAGCTGCAGCGATCCGGGCCGAGATTCCGGAAATGTTTGGGTCTATCAAGACCACGCTGATGGAGACGTTTGATGAGCGGTATGCCGCGTTGTCCGAGGCTGCCGCTGCTGCAGCTACCGCAGCTGTGGCTGCTGCCAGGCCACAGGGGGGTGACTCGTTGCTGTTCCGGGAGTTCAGCAACACGAAGCCACCAGAGTTTGACGGGACTCAGGATCCGATTGCTGCTATGAGGTGGATTGCCGATATTGAGGGATGCTTCTATACTTGTTCATGTCCGGAGCATCTGAGGGTGCGGTTCGCCCTGAACCAGCTCCGCCTGGGAGCGAAGGATTGGTGGAAGTTCGTGACGGCAAACTTCACTCTCGCGGAGGTTTCAGCCTTGACTTGGGAGAGATTTACTGCTATGTTCAGAGACGAGTACGTTCCCCCGGTGGAGAGGGAACGGTTGGTTCAGGAGTTCTTGACCCTCAAGCAGGGTAATGATTCGGTTGCAGTGATCACGCGGAAGTTTCATGAGAGGGCGATGTTCTGCCCCGAGCAGGTGTCCACGGAGCAGGCTCGGATGAGCCGGTATTTGGGAGTGCTGAGAAGAGACATCCGGGAGTTCGTATCGAACTCATCATATCAGACTTTTGCTGAGCTTCAGGCGAATGCCAGGAAGCGGGAGATCGAGTTGGAGACCCAGGCCAGGGAGGAGGCCGAGTCTCAGCGGATGGATCGGCGGCCGACGCAGTCGCAGCCGGCAGCCAAGCGGACCAAGTCCGTTGATTTGAGATCCGGAGGACAGAAGAGCCGTACGTGTGGGAAGTGCGGCAAGGGTCATGAGGGGGCGTGTCGATTGGGTGCTTGCTACAAGTGTGGCAAGGAGGGGCACATCGCGAGGGATTGCCCCAAGGGATTTATGGTTTGCTTCCATTGCAACCAGACTGGCCATCGGAAGGCCGAGTGCCCCCAGCTTCGCCAGGGATCTTCGCCTGCTGCCAGGGTTCCTGAGGTTCGGCCAGTGAAGACCGAGGCCCCGAAGGCTCGTGGGAGAGCTTTCCAGTTGACTGCGGAGGAGGTCCGCGCGGCGCCTGATGTAGTGGCCGGTATGTATTCTTTCACGTATTTACATTTATGCTGAGACATTATGCTTATATTCCTATATGCGTAGGTACTTTTCTTGTGAATCATGTGCCTGCCTTGGTATTGTTCGACTCAGGTGCGAGTCGGTCCTTTGTTTCGCTGGCCTTTAGCCAGTACATCGATATCGATCGGGAGACGATGAGTCGTCCCCTGCGAGTTGCTATAGCAAACGAGAGAGCAGTATACGCCACCGAGGTGATCCGAGGATGCGTACTCGAGATTTTTGGGGTCGAGTTTCCGATCGACTTAGTCCCTATAGCTATGGGGGATGTTTGCATTATCGTGGGCATGGATTGGTTGAGTAAGTTTGGAGCTGTCATTGATTGCGAGAAACAGCTGGTGATGATTCGAGACCCTAGTGGGGGAGTGCTCACAGTTTATGGTGAAGGGACC